GGTTTATTTACAGTTTGAGAGAAGCCAACTGAGTCTAATAATGAACAGAATGCATTGTTGAGGCTGTCATTGTCGGCATCTACATGAATATTAAAGTCGCCTACTATGATTATTTTATCTGTACTAAGCACTAAATCAGACAGAAAGTCTGAGAATTCACTTAAAAACTCTGAATAAGGAGCAGGAGGACAGTATACAATAACAAACAGAACAGGCTTTTGAGTTTTCCAGTTTGGGTGTGAGAGACTCAGGGTGAGACTTTCAAATGAGTTATAACTATGTTACAGCTACACACCCAAATCTCATAATTGCTATCATTAAAATGATCTTACATCACTTTTTGAAACAGGCTTCATGTTAATAGGAAATATTCTGTCAATTGCAATATGTTATAACTGTTTAAAGCCTACAAAACAAATAATTGACTCCTGTTTTTGTAACAAAACCTCCTTCCTCACTGCATGTTTCCCCTCCAGCTCTTTGTTGCTCTTTGTACCTGTGTGTAGTCCTGATAAGGCATCAGGGAAATTATGACAAATTTATGTGTATCCTGATAAAAACACAAATGTTAAAATTACATTGTTTGTTTGCTCTATTTAATTTTTAATGAAAAATTCTAAATGTTTTTCCTCCATAATATTTTTACAGAATAATGTGTCAAACTTTTCACAGCATAATTACATTTAGTTACATGCACTTTATAATCATTTTGTGGGTCATTACGTCATTTTAAAGCTGTTTTGTTCTCATGCATTAATTCCTTTATCTTCCATCATGTTTTAAAAGGAGGAGTTCATTTCTAAGTTCCTTACTGACTGATTTCACATTACTAACAGCTGTACTATGGGTGTGTATCTGTCCTTTAAATGAAGCAGAAGAACTCGGCAGCCTCTCTCTGCAGCATCACTACAGAGGTGCTGAAGGTTTTGAATGCTACCGAGGAGCTGATTGGTGAGGCGGGAGGTGAGAGCTACCCCCTGTCTGAGTCCATGAGTACGTCTCCCATCTCCAGCAGCTCGGACACCCGCAGGCTGGACCAGAGGCTGACTAAGATGGAGGAGAATGTAAGCTGAACAGCAGTTACAGTCCAGTCTTTTAACTTCACTGTTGAATTCCTCTCGGAAGTAAAAAGGTGGAGTTGATCAATCCTAATGGAAGCTCATCTTATCCATGCAGGTATACCTGGCTGCTGGTGCTGTGTATGGTCTTGAGGGGGCACTAGGAGACCTGGAGCAGTGTGCTCGCAGTATTCGCAGCGGTACCACAGACACGGAGCTGACTTTCCTGGAAGACCAGGTGGCCACTGCAGCCGCTCAGGTCCAGCAGTCTGAGCTACAGGTATTAGAAGAGATGTTATTTTCTCAAAACACATTAGTTGGCTTTGCACCCCAAAGAGGTGTTTTAAGTCTTCCAACATCAGACATCCTCATCCACATGGCCCAACCATAGCTGATCAGACACCAGCTTTTGTCCAAGTGGCCTGTGTAGTGCACAGATTGCCCCTCCAGATTCATAGCCATCAAGAGGCCTTTCCTGCTGCCACTGTCAGGTTTCTGATGGCTAGAAAACAAAAGGTCCAGTAACACTTGCAGTGTTTTGAACAACTTTAATTAGAAGACAAATGGATTTCTGCATGAAGCCTTCATCAGGGTCTGTTAAAAGCATGCAACAAAAATAAAAAATACAAATTTGTGTTGTGTGCTTTTAACAGACCCCGATGAAGGCTTCATGCCAAGTGTTGATGGACTTTTTTGTTTTTCCCTTGTCTGTGCACCTTGACAGTGGCCGAAGTTGTGCCAGAACTTTCTGCTGCACCAGGTTTCTGATGGCTCTGTCCCGAGCAGTGGCCAGGAGCCCCCGATGTTCTCTGGTCCAGCTTTGGTTTCTCTCCTGCCCTGACAAATGCAATGGCTCGTCTCTCTGTTTGCCGCTGTCAGATGTTGGAGATCCTGAACAAATATTGCAAGATTTACTGCATAAAACAGTATTAGACTGTTTTTAATTGAGCCCTTTTCTCTTTTTAAGATATCAAACATTGAGGCCAGAATATCAGCTCTGAAAACAGCTGGGTTGAATGTGACGGTCTGCAATCGCTTCTTCAAACACAGGCCAAAGGCTAAGGTATCTCACTGCCCTTCAAGTTCCCTAGTGGCTTTCACACTCAGCCTTAATGAGCTTAAGGTGACCAAAAATATCTGGCAAGAGATTTGTCACTGTGAGACAGCTCTAAGTGAAGATGATTTGGTACACTTTAATGTTTTTGAATTGTATATTATAAATACTGTGTTTACAGACTCAAACCCTGGACTCGTCACGTCATCAAAGGAGGAAGCTTCCAGCACCTCCACTGAAAGGTACCCAGCAAGTTTATGTTGCTTATGTCAAGGAAAACTATGCTAAAATACACACAAAGAAAACTCTGTGTATGCAGTGATCTAAATGATGACTTAGTAAACGGTGACAAGTAAAACAAAAATGACTCATTACCTATTACTCATTAAATAAATGTATCAGCACAGAAACAAAATTATTTTTGTATCAACCTTTTTAAGAGGCTGATTCAGTCTGAACTCACACTTACAGTAAAATGCTCCTTTAAATCTCATGTTGAATTAAAGAAACAATACTTTATCTTGGTTATCACTTAACATTTTCAGTAAGTTGAAACTTGATATTTATTTTGTCAATGGATGAAAAAGGACTAAATGGAAGATATTTACTGCTGTGATGTTCTACCTACTACCAGTGTTGGGAAGGCTACTTTTGAAATATAATTTACAGATTATTAGTTACTACCAGCCTATTGGTTGAGCACCAAGCAGAATATAGAGCAAAATGACATCTTTAGCACATAAATAACATGGTGGGGCAGGAGGCTCTTTATTTTATGAGTAACATTAACTTACTTGTAAGTGTTTTCTCAGGTTTGGCACGGGGCATTTCAATGTTGACAGCATTTTCAGTGTTGCTTTAAGAAAAGGCTTTATAGTGTACAGTAAGGTTTAAGTTCTTTTTTTGGTTTCTGCTGTCAAGTGACGTAGCAAAAGATGCAAAGCAACGGAATGAATGTTATATATGCATACAAGCTTTTTATATGATTATATATATTATTTTGTAATTTAATTACATATAGCTAGTACTACCCACTACCTACTCTGTCAGTCACCAAAAGTAAAGTGAGCCTGATTTGTAATGATTTATACGGTATAACATCAATCCATACCCTCATAACCATAAACCTACAGTGTTGTATGCACTTAGTTCTATTGTGTGTGTGTCAAGCAGGGACAGCTAGAGATGGAGGGTGAGACAGAGACCAGGGTAGTACACTTATGGATTTACCCTCAGTTAACATCACACATTTTGCACTTGGCTGCTGAATGGATGTAAAAGTGAATACATCTGCTAGAAAGGGGCTAAATAACTGAAAAGCTCCATTAGATGTAAAGCAGCAGCCAAATGGAAACACACACACAATGCAGGGGGATAAGGCTGTTTTATCAACCAACAAGAAGTCGGTTCCTTTTCATGTCAGTGAATGGCCTTTTTCTGTGGGCCTTTCTGTATTTTCTTTTTGTCTCGTTTTTCTTTTTTCACCAGCATCCACACAATAGCTCTGATTCAGGGTGGCTTTTTCAGCACGGCTCCAAAGACAAACAGCAAGCTGGACAATGGGGCAAAATCAGTGACCAAGACATGTAATCATATCATTGATTCCAGCTTGGAGTGTCCTTTTTATCAGTCCATAATGCAGTATGTTCTAATTTTATGGCTGGGAAGACTGTGCAGCTATATTAGATATCAGTCAGCAGTGTTCAGCTGAATCATATTTTATTAATAAGTCACTTTGAGATTCTTTTTAAAATGCTGCTGTTGATGGTAGAATTTTTTTCCATTTCAGAAAAACTGGAGCCAGAGCAACAGATGAAAGTGTTTCGGCCATAGTGACAGTCGGCAGCATAAGTCCCTCAGGACCACTTTCGAGCCCCAGGGGTGGGGGCCCCTCTCATCCAGTGCCTTGACCCAGCATCTTTCTCTAGCTCCAGGCCAAGCACAGGCCAGCACCAGCTCTGTGTGACCCACCAAGCACTAAGACTCTCAGCTAGGCTCGGCAACATGTCAGTCAAACACCTTGCAGACGACGTGACTGGCTCTTTCCCATTTTTCCATTTTATCTCCGATTTCTTCCTCCTCACCACGCACGTAATACACCAATCAAGAATCACTGAACAGTCTGTGTCTCTGCCTTAAAATCTGCAAACACTCCTCATGACCCAACTCTTGATGTGTACAGACATGTCCATCTGTTTGCAAAGTATTGTGATTTAAAGTACAATGAAGATGTGAAAAAATCATGTGACATTTTCTGTGATCCAGTGTCCCAAAAAGAGGCTGAGCCATGTTTTATACTGCATCTTCTTTCTTACCAAATAAAATGGCATGACAAATTTTATCATAGTACTGTAAGCCCCTTCAGAGCTTTGAACGGCTGTCAGTTTTCACACTATCAGATATTAATCTGATACCTGGGTGATACTGGGTGAAACAAATGCACTTACCAGAAAATAGTGTTTAAATGTGTGAAATATTGGGCTAAAATGTTTTTGTCTTTTCCTACCACTAAAATTGTTAGATGGCAGTAAATGAATACAAAGTACACTTCATAAGTGGCTTATGGTGAATAGCCAAAAGCAAACTAGTTCAAAGTAATTTTCAACATTATTAGAAATATAATAATCTCCTTTCTTTCTGGGAGTTAAATGAGAGGATCCCCACTGTTGTCATACTCTAAATCTGAAGAAACCGCAGTACAGCAGGCTAGTGGTTTGCTTAGCCTAGCATAAAGACTGAAAGTGGAGAAAAGGCAAGGCTGGCTCTGTTCAAAATGTTTTTATTTTATATTTTGGCCACAAGGGGCAGCAGAAACTAGCTCAACACATTAATATATAGCCTCTTGAAAGGCAACACTATGTTAGCATTTGGAGTTTTGGGAGGGAGTTGTACTGTATACCCACCTCAAAAAATATTTGGTTCTGAGCACTTAGTGTACAGTGTGTTTTTATCAGGTTTTCACCAAAAACATGTCCCTGCTCCTGCCAGAAATTGTTTTTACAGTTTTATATATTACAAAAATATTTATAAACTGTTAATATTTTTTATTTTTATTAAGTACAAAAAAGTAATATTTTGCTACCTCTTGTCAGAACCAGGACAGCTGTTCCACTGTTTTCAGTCTTTAAACCAAGCTGAACTAACCGGCTGCAGGCACTGGGTTCGTATTAGACATACAGTACGAAGATGAGAGTGGTATTGGTCTTCTCATGTAACTATTGGCAAGAAAGAAAATAAATGCATTTCCCAAAAATATAAAACTATTTCTTAATATTTTACTAGGGAAGTAAATATTTTACTATTTATTTAGAAAAGGTACTCAATAGTCACAAACACTACAGCCAGAGGCTGTTGGGCTTTTACATTGATATTAGTTAAATATGGTTTGAATAAGTCTGAATGTCAGACAGTCTGAGGTCAACTCTTGTCTGAAAGTGATCTCATTTAAAAAAAAGAAAAGAAAATGCCCCATGCAGTATTCTCAAACAAAAGTCATTTTCCTTTCTGTTAACTTCTTTATTTACTTTAAAACATTGTGGCCTTTTATTTGAACAAAAGTATATTTTCATATTTTCTCTTTGCTGGATCATGTCCAAATGTCTGTTTTATTCAGAAACTCTTGTAAAGATTTTTGCATAATTAAGTCTGATGGGTTGTAAAACAAATGCCATGAAACCATGATTTTGTTTCAAACAATTTATTTTTGTACCTACTGAAAGTTTTATGCAATACCACTGAAATGAGAACTATTGCAAATTAAAGGCTTTATTCAGTCCTTAAAGGAGCCCTCCTCAGCCGGTTCTGTCAGCCTCACTCATGTGTGATGGCTCAAAGTGCTTTCAGCATACGCCTGTGTTTACCATTTGATATCCTGTAGATTAATGACGGTAAATGCTCCAAATACACAGGCGATAACAGGCGTTTGTGGAGCAGCTGGTACAATTCATATTATGTTTGTGTACTCCTTAAATACTAGATTTGAGAGTACTGCCTTTTATGTTTTGGGTTCTTTTACTTTTACTCTGTGAGCACTTACATTGCTGGAACATCAGTTAGCCATCCACATGCTTGTCACAGTTGTCACAGTCCAACCCAGCCTAAGAGCAGGGTTGGATTTCTTGATGGACTGCTTGAACTTAAAGGTGTGATAATGTTCTATGAATGCTCTGCCCCTTCTGTCATTACGTTACTACTGTACAATCTTGTTCTCCAGAGGTATCAATATATAAAAGCATGTTTCAGGTCTTAACAATTTTAATATAAAATTTCCTTTAAGAAGCACAGCAACAAGGGTCCACTCATCAGTGTCATGTATTTTTGATGTAAAAAAATATATTTCATCACAGAATTTAATATATGTATATGTGTGAAAAGATGGATATGATATAGAATAATGTGTGTATTGCCCAATCATAGTTAACCAGTCTTTCAGTGTTGTGTGCAAGAGACTGTGTATAAGTGTTATGAGTTGTAAGACTGGATTCACACAGTCAGTCTAAAGAGCCACTGTAACTGGTCCCTGATACTCAGAAATGAGATTCACACATAGCTAAAAACTATATTACTTTTGTTCCTGTTTAAATCCAGTGTGACTGACTATGGAGAGGTTCATTGTGCACAGCTCCATAGATGAACTTTCACTTTTATGTACAATTGTTTGTTCGAACCCATATGACAAGTTGGGGAAAATATTAAGCAAAAAATACTAATTCTCTATGTGCCACAGTAGTCTGAAATGATGAAATGAATAAAATTTGAAAATGTAGAGCTTTCTTTTTTGAAAAAAAAAAAAGTTTGTTGTGTTACCATTCAAGAAGGAGATCAACATCTATAATCATAACACCCTTATTTATTAATCAATATAGAATACATTTTATGTACAGATACATTTGGAAAGGGAGTTTACTGAGGATCCCATTAACCAAGCTCTTATTACAGACAGCAGAGAGAAATACAGTGAAGAGCTGGAGCAAAACAATAAATAACCTCAAAATAAAAAATAAAGATGTTCAGAAGTTGTCATGGTAACCAATCTCTGTCCTCCCCCTCCAGCACTTTCCTGAGATTCTCCTTGTTTCTGAAGCTGTTGAGGAGGAGCGCCACCATCCTGACGACAGGCTGCATCCCACTGCTACCCAGAGCCTCCACACTGCTGTGTCTCTTCCCAAAACGCCCAATGGGTCTCACCCCACGCCCCACATACCAAAATGGGTCTATCTCTGGACCTGGACACCATATAAGAACATCATCATCATGTATCAAAGCATGGGTTAGTATTAACAGATCTTTCTGAGGAGAGAATCCATGTTTGGAAAAAGGCTGGAGATGCACACTCCATCCATCCATACATCCATATATACATGAATAAGTAATAAATTAATTTAAATATTGAAAGACCAGTATTACTGTCTCAACCAGAATGGTTTTAATGGCAGTGGGTACATTTTGTGCTCCTAAAATGACAAAATAATAACACTATATGGTCATTTTTACAATTTCAGATTTGGCATCTCAGGTTTCAATGTCTTTTTGGATTTTAAATTTCTGTTAAGGTGAGTATAAATTGTTTTCTCAGCTGGGTTGATACTTCTGAGACCTTTATATGGAAATATTTGTTGTTCTTAATCTTTCACTTATTCAAATGACAATAGCAGTGTGAAGCAACACCGATGAACAGTATTGTCATATTTATTATACTATGTCTTCAAGGTAAAAGCAGATTGTACAACCTGCTGTAGTACTGTCCATTACAGTAGAATTACAAAGTACACAGAAAATTATAGCCTATCCTTCAACCTGCTTCCAATCAAATCATTCAAATTATGCCTATATATATACGTCAATATAGTCATATGACAATGACTACATCAGTAATTATACAACTTTTGTTAATTGTCACAATAAAATATTACATTATAAACTAGGCCTATACAGGTTAAATGCGGGATAAATACTTGTTGTATGCTCTTATTTTGAGATCAAATTTACTTCATTGATAAAATTTGAATGTTTAGATGTAGTAATTGGTCCCTTGAGACGTTTTGTAACCCACTGACAACATGTTTCAAATCCTGTAGTGAAGATTAGTAGTTAACACTGGTAAATAATCTCACGCTATTTCCTATTTAGGCAAAACTACGTGGAAACATTGATGTGAAATAAATATGAAAAAAAGTAATAAGTCACTGTAAACACAACTGAGACTCACGAACAAACAGATATGGAAAGGTAATGGAAATATTTATAGCTTATATTTTGGTCTGTCCTCCTCATATCTCCCGATCTCAACACCAGCTTATAAGTTGTAATTGTTTTTTTTTTTATGTTTTTTTTTTTCTTTTTTAAGGTAGCCTTTAATAACACTGTCGGGTCTTACTTCTGTTGTCGACTTTGTGGACAATGTGGAAGTCGTGCTCCACCGTGGTGCTGTGAGCGCTGCTGAGGCTGAAGGAGATGAGGAGGAGCAGCGCCAGAGCTGCGGGCAGCCAGCGGCGCGTCAGGACGCAGAGCCGGACATCAGCCGCTCTCCCAGGCAGCATGCTGTGCAGTCGCTCAAGGCACTAAAGAGGACCGAGCGACGCCAATGAGTGAAAACAGACACCTAGGAAGGATAAGTACAAGAATACCTGAAGAAAGCCGAAACTGATATCATAAATAGTCCACCTTTAAATCAATTAGATTATTATGAATTCGGGTTTGAACTTCCTGATAGGAAGGTCATAGTTATTTACAAGAGATGAAAAAATAGAATAAGATCAGGATTTAAAACTAAAGCTCATTTACAAACACAATATTATTAATTGTAAAATCTGTCATTGTAAATGCCTGTAGACTTATTAGGTTATTCTAGCCTATTATAATTATTCACGCAGCCACTAGGCTAATTACAAGAGCTGAGAAAAGCCACCTGAAATGTGTAACTATCATAGAAATATCATTATAGTATTATAAAATAATATAAATAAATAAAACCTAGGTTATGGTACCCTCACTATCTAATACAGTCACTTTGTCAAGCTTTATCTGGGCTATATATAGCCTATGTATATCCAAAACAGCAGCTTCTTACCCTGAACTTTGGTAACAGGTTGAGGTCAGCTGGCAGAGGTCTGAGGTTGTTACTGTTTAGCAGGTGTTGTGAGGCGTGTTCTTCTATCTAAAAATGAAAATCACCCTAACAGTGTACTCCAGCTTATATATTCATGCTGCTCATGAGGCTGTTGGATGATGAATCAAGAACGTCAGTCACACACTGTGATCCCAGACTACAGGATGCATCGCCCCACTCTCCTCCTCCCACTCCCTCATCCCTTTGAGAATGGAGGTCTGGTTTTGGGACTGTCTGTCATGTCATGTAGCAGTGCATCAGGAAGTCAATGACATGTAACACGGGGAGGACCCACCAGCTCAAGTAAGTCTGTCAGACAGTGCCCCAGAACTGTGGGCATTTTTGATGAACCTTTCATCCATCAGCGTGATTACAAGGGACATGGAAGGACACAATCAGCCATTCCAAAAGCCTCAGTGTATTCTTGAACAGATTGTCTTGTTACCCAGACTTTTACAACTTTCTTAGTAGGCTAATAATCAGCATCAAATAGTAAGATTATACAGTGCCTTGCGAAAGTATTCGGCCCCCTTGAACTTTGCGACCTTTTGCCACATTTCAGGCTTCAAACATAAAGATATAAAAATGTAATTTTTTGTGAAGAATCAACAACAAGTGGGACACAATCATGAAGTGGAACGAAATTTATTGGATATTTCAAACTTTTTTAACAAATAAAAAACTGAAAAATTGGGCGTGCAAAATTATTCAGCCCCCTTAAGTTAATACTTTGTAGCGCCACCTTTTGCTGCGATTACAGCTGTAAGTCACTTGGGGTATGTCTCTATCAGTTTTGCACATCGAGAGACGGAAATTTTTGCCCATTCCTCCTTGCAAAACAGCTCGAGCTCAGTGAGGTTGGATAGAGAGCGTTTGTGAACAGCAGTTTTCAGTTCTTTCCACAGATTCTCAATTGGATTCAGGTCTGGACTTTGACTTGGCCATTCTAACACCTGGATATGTGTATTTGTGAACCATTCCATTGTAGATTTTGCTTTATGTTTTGAATCATTGTCTTGTTGGAAGACAAATCTCCGTCCCAGTATCAGGTCTTTTGCAGACTCCATCAGGTTTCCTTCCAGAATGGTCCTGTATTTGGCTCCATCCATCTTCCCATCAATTATAACCATCTTCCCTGTCCCTGCTGAAGAAAAGCAGGCCCAAACCAGGATGCTGCCACCACCATGTTTGACAGTGGGGATGGTGTATTCAGGGTGATGAGCTGTGTTGCTTTTACGCCAAACATAACGTTTTGCATTGTTGCCAAAAAGTTCAATTTTGGTTTCATCTGACCAGAGCACCTTCTTCCACATGTTTGGTGTGTCTCCCAGGTGGCTTGTGGCAAACTTTAAACGACACTTTTTATGGATATCTTTAAGAAATGGCTTTCTTCTTGCCACTCTTCCATAAAGGCCAGATTTGTGCAGTATACGACTGATTGTTGTCCTATGGACAGAGTCTCCCACCTCAGCTGTAGATCTCTGCAGTTCATCCAGAGTGATCATGGGCCTCTTGGCTGCATCTCTGATCAGTCTTCTCCTTGTATGAGCTGAAAGTTTAGAGGGACGGCCAGGTCTTGGTAGATTTGCAGTGGTCTGATACTCCTTCCATTTCAATATTATCGCTTGCACAGTGCTCCTTGGGATGTTTAAAGCTTGGGAAATCTTTTTGTATCCAAATCCGGCTTTAAACTTCTCCACAACAGTATCTCGGACCTGCCTGGTGTGTTCCTTGTTCTTCATGATGCTCTCTGCGCTTTAAACAGACCTCTGAGACTATCACAGTGCAGGTGCATTTATACGGAGACTTGATTACACACAGGTGGATTCTATTTATCATCATTAGTCATTTAGGTCAACATTGGATCATTCAGAGATCCTCACTGAACTTCTGGAGAGAGTTTGCTGCACTGAAAGTAAAGGGGCTGAATAATTTTGCACGCCCAATTATTCAGTTTTTTATTTGTTAAAAAAGTTTGAAATATCCAATAAATTTCATTCCACTTCATGATTGTGTCCCACTTGTTGTTGATTCTTCACAAAAAATTACAGTTTTATATCTTTATGTTTGAAGCCTGAAATGTGGCAAAAGGTCGCAAAGTTCAAGGGGGCCGAATACTTTCGCAAGGCACTGTAGATGCAAACAGTTCAGGTTCACGTGACACAAGAATTGGAAAAATAGCATTTCAGACAGTGACAGCAAAACCACAATATCAAAATGACTCAGGAAGGAGTGACACAGTGAGTATAAATGTCAAAATACATGGCAACACAGCCCAGAATTGATCCAGACAGCCAAAATGAAGATGTGCATGAACATAACATACAGGGGTTTTGGTGTAAATTGATTTTGCTTTGCTCCAATTTTGATGATTTTCTTGTTATTCTATAGTAAATATAGAGTTTGGACAAAAGGTTTGCATGAAGTCAAAAAATAACTGACAACAATTTTGTTAATCAATTAATTGTTTAGATCTTTTTCCGAGTAAAGATACCAAACATTTGCTAGTTCCAAACTCTCAAATGTGAGTTTAAGTCACTGTCAATCCCTGTGTGTCCACTTTTCTAAAGAACCTTATAGACTTTGAATGGAATTTCATTGGCCAGTAAGCGATCTCAGCCCAGTTCACATCAACACAACCAAGGTTAGTTTCCAGTTTTTGATAAAAATGAAAATCACCCTAACAGTGTACTCCAGCTTATATATTCATGCTGCTCATGAGGCTGTTGGATGATGAATCAAGAACGTCAGTCACACACTGTGATCCCAGACTACAGGATGCATCGCCCCACTCTCCTCCTCCCACTCCCTCATCCCTTTGAGAATGGAGGTCTGGTTTTGGGACTGTCTGTCATGTCATGTAGCAGTGCATCAGGAAGTCAATGACATGTAACACGGGGAGGACCCACCAGCTCAAGTAAGTCTGTCAGACAGTGCCCCAGAACTGTGGGCATTTTTGATGAACCTTTCATCCATCAGCGTGATTACAAGGGACATGGAAGGACACAATCAGCCATTCCAAAAGCCTCAGTGTATTCTTGAACAGATTGTCTTGTTACCCAGACTTTTACAACTTTCTTAGTAGGCTAATAATCAGCATCAAATAGTAAGATTATACAGTGCCTTGCGAAAGTATTCGGCCCCCTTGAACTTTGCGACCTTTTGCCACATTTCAGGCTTCAAACATAAAGATATAAAAATGTAATTTTTTGTGAAGAATCAACAACAAGTGGGACACAATCATGAAGTGGAACGAAATTTATTGGATATTTCAAACTTTTTTAACAAATAAAAAACTGAAAAATTGGGCGTGCAAAATTATTCAGCCCCCTTAAGTTAATACTTTGTAGCGCCACCTTTTGCTGCGATTACAGCTGTAAGTCACTTGGGGTATGTCTCTATCAGTTTTGCACATCGAGAGACGGAAATTTTTGCCCATTCCTCCTTGCAAAACAGCTCGAGCTCAGTGAGGTTGGATAGAGAGCGTTTGTGAACAGCAGTTTTCAGTTCTTTCCACAGATTCTCAATTGGATTCAGGTCTGGACTTTGACTTGGCCATTCTAACACCTGGATATGTGTATTTGTGAACCATTCCATTGTAGATTTTGCTTTATGTTTTGAATCATTGTCTTGTTGGAAGACAAATCTCCGTCCCAGTATCAGGTCTTTTGCAGACTCCATCAGGTTTCCTTCCAGAATGGTCCTGTATTTGGCTCCATCCATCTTCCCATCAATTATAACCATCTTCCCTGTCCCTGCTGAAGAAAAGCAGGCCCAAACCAGGATGCTGCCACCACCATGTTTGACAGTGGGGATGGTGTATTCAGGGTGATGAGCTGTGTTGCTTTTACGCCAAACATAACGTTTTGCATTGTTGCCAAAAAGTTCAATTTTGGTTTCATCTGACCAGAGCACCTTCTTCCACATGTTTGGTGTGTCTCCCAGGTGGCTTGTGGCAAACTTTAAACGACACTTTTTATGGATATCTTTAAGAAATGGCTTTCTTCTTGCCACTCTTCCATAAAGGCCAGATTTGTGCAGTATACGACTGATTGTTGTCCTATGGACAGAGTCTCCCACCTCAGCTGTAGATCTCTGCAGTTCATCCAGAGTGATCATGGGCCTCTTGGCTGCATCTCTGATCAGTCTTCTCCTTGTATGAGCTGAAAGTTTAGAGGGACGGCCAGGTCTTGGTAGATTTGCAGTGGTCTGATACTCCTTCCATTTCAATATTATCGCTTGCACAGTGCTCCTTGGGATGTTTAAAGCTTGGGAAATCTTTTTGTATCCAAATCCGGCTTTAAACTTCTCCACAACAGTATCTCGGACCTGCCTGGTGTGTTCCTTGTTCTTCATGATGCTCTCTGCGCTTTAAACAGACCTCTGAGACTATCACAGTGCAGGTGCATTTATACGGAGACTTGATTACACACAGGTGGATTCTATTTATCATCATTAGTCATTTAGGTCAACATTGGATCATTCAGAGATCCTCACTGAACTTCTGGAGAGAGTTTGCTGCACTGAAAGTAAAGGGGCTGAATAATTTTGCACGCCCAATTATTCAGTTTTTTATTTGTTAAAAAAGTTTGAAATATCCAATAAATTTCATTCCACTTCATGATTGTGTCCCACTTGTTGTTGATTCTTCACAAAAAATTACAGTTTTATATCTTTATGTTTGAAGCCTGAAATGTGGCAAAAGGTCGCAAAGTTCAAGGGGGCCGAATACTTTCGCAAGGCACTGTAGATGCAAACAGTTCAGGTTCACGTGACACAAGAATTGGAAAAATAGCATTTCAGACAGTGACAGCAAAACCACAATATCAAAATGACTCAGGAAGGAGTGACACAGTGAGTATAAATGTCAAAATACATGGCAACACAGCCCAGAATTGATCCAGACAGCCAAAATGAAGATGTGCATGAACATAACATACAGGGGTTTTGGTGTAAATTGATTTTGCTTTGCTCCAATTTTGATGATTTTCTTGTTATTCTATAGTAAATATAGAGTTTGGACAAAAGGTTTGCATGAAGTCAAAAAATAACTGACAACAATTTTGTTAATCAATTAATTGTTTAGATCTT